GCTACCTGAGAAAATAGCAAAATCTATGATTATCTGGTGTTTTTCCTCATTGAATGAATTACCAATTACTGTTTGTATAATTGTCATAAAATGGATTATAGGTAATCTAATTCTTATTGAAACTATATTTCTAATTACATAAATGTTTTATTTTATATATATAGATACTTTTTATAAGGTATAAAAGAAAGTATATTTACATATTACAATATTACAATGTTAATGTTAATATTTAGGTTTATGGGACTATGAATTAGTTGATAGGAAAGTAATCAACATATATTATGATATCTTTTTCTACACAATGCTCAAGAAACCAAGACTGGTAATGTTTAATGTAATACTTTTATATATATAATATATATATGTATGTTTATATAATTTTACATTTTAAGACAAAAAATAAAAGAAAATTAATATATATATTAAAGTATTAATTATATATATTAAAGTAGCTTGGTTTACTTATTAGTATGACATTTGAAGAAACTTGAATCACTGCAAAAGTAACTTGATGTATTTATTTTAAAAGGACATTTTAACATTAGTTTACAATAATATAAACGTCAATTTTAGGAACGTGACATAGCACGTCTCATCTATGTATTGACAAAACCAGAGGATGTCTCACGCAGAGAAGTTTCAAGATTATTAGCCCTTCAGAAAAATTATTCCAAGCCTCCTAAACATATCACTGCGTTACTTTCGTAAGTACAATTAAATAGAGTATTGAATTGATTAATAAAATAAAAATATAACTCAAGACGTATTTTTAGCTTATTTAAGTCATATAAGCCAGAATTGGTGCCTGAGAAAATAGATTCAGTGAATATAGAAAGTGTATGGAAATCGATACCTGAGGTTGTACGACTGTCATTGGAGGAAGCTAGAGAACGTGTGGACACTGTGGAGATTCGATCATCACAACAGAGCGCGCAAACGCATTTTAATTGGAACATATTGCAGGTATAAAGATTATTTATATAAATATTTTGTATATGCATATATAATTGTGGAGGATTCGTGCGGAGAGAGAAGTCATGAAGATTATTGTATATATAGAATCAAAAAGGTCATAAGAAAAAAAGCACGCTCTTACCGTCTGTTGGATATTTTCACATTGGTTCGAGTATTTTCAAAGACAAAGATGCAAAGTCAATTTTTGACATAAGCAGGTGAGCAATAAAATCAGAATAACACTAGTTACTGATATAATACTCACATATTCATGTTGTATGATATGCAACTGGGTATGTACGTGTTGTATATCTTAATACAAGCTGTTAAAAAAAAAAACTATCCAATATATGTTAGGTAATATGCACCATATTGAGTAAAAAAAATTTTGGTAAACATCACGTCCAATCCATCGTTGATCAAGTAACGTGTTTAAGTGCTCTCTCACATTGCGCACAAAATGAGCTGAGGACATTCAAAACGCGATTTATGAACACTGAGATAAACATCGCATGCAACACGAAGGAGCCAGCAAGTAAATCATGATGCTAACATACAAAAATGTTTGTGTTTCAGAAACGGTTGAGCTTTCGACCGATGTTTGCTAAGGTTTTTTTTCACTCAGTATAGTGTATACTATATCTACCATATAAATATTGAATTGTTTTTTTTTTTAACACCATGTATATTCATGCAACATATTGTAGCACAGAAGAATTGGGAAAATATCATCAGAGTGTTGAATTACCTTGTAATGCTGTTTCACTTTTATCAAATATGGCTGGCTACCATCTTCTCACATATGCGGACTTGCAGTATCAAAGCAGATTCTCGTACAACCTCTATAATACACTTGCTAGAGGTGCGTGTGTGTTCGTTCCTTCTAGTCGTTGCCAGTTTGATAACACGAACTGTGTGTAAACTGCAAAATTAATGCGTTAATATTTCAGCATTTATATGGGAGAACGGAAAGTTTTCCAGTGAGGAAATGGACAAATTGCTTGCAATGACAGCGGAGTTTTCTCGATACATGCAAGAGGGGATACTTGTAATTAAGCTGTTCTTCGATGAATATTTGTATTATAATACAGGAGAATATCTATTGAGATTGTTAGACTTGTTACAATGGATGACTAATGTGTCCATTGCCGGTTGGTTAAAAGTAGCATTCTAATTGACATTTATTACTGAACAATTATGGAAGATACAATTTTGTAAATTTCAGAGTTGCGGGAGAATATTCTGATGCATGTACAAAATATATTTTATGAGTCGGACTTATCTATGAAGTGTGAGATTATCAAGTCTCTACGGAAACTAATTGTAAATTTGGTAAGGATTGACATTATTCACTCTATGCATGTATGACTTTATATGTACTCTAACAATATGAGTATGATAAGAAAGAGTACGATATAACAGTATAATAATATATAACAATATAATAAGAATGTAGAAATTCAACAAGATCGCCCATCAAGATTATTAGATAGAATATAGATCAAACTAATTATGTAGAATAAGTTTAAGTTGCTATCTCCATTTAGCTTATTTAAGTAGACGACGTACGACTGTATGAAAATTGTGTTCATTACAGTTTGTTAGGCAAGGTCTTGAAGAACATGTTACATCGTCTTTTTTACAACAAGATCCATTAGAAAATTTAGCAGATGTTGTGCCTGTGATTGCAGAAATTATGAAAAATCTTATCGTTAACGGATTAAACATACACAATTACAACGTCTTACTATTATCGGAAGCTCTGACATTTTACGAAGAGGTATGTACGTGTAGCAGACTCTATATATGTGAAGTATATTTTATATCTGATATTAATGAACACTCAATCCCCAATATATCTCTATATGTCTCTCTGTTTCTTCGAAGATTTGCATATTAGAAAGTCGCAGTCGGATACCGTCTTGGACACTGCCACCGTCAGCGGTTATTTATGGAGCATTTATTACAAAAAGCTGCGCTGTCCTGTCGAGAGTCTGCAGACTGTTATTAAGGTGTTCTATAACTTCTTATTTTCGAATTAACTCCGTTTCATCGATTGCTTATATTTGAATGATCACAGATATCGCGAAATGAGCCCGCGGTTACGTCACATGATGCCATCGGACGTGTGTGAAGAAAGGATTCAAGTTATATCTATTTATGCGAACGATATTCATAGAGCGTTATGGTATAACGAGGTGTGTATCCAATAGGAAGCGAAACTATTAAACAAACCTGTATGCGGATTTAAATATTCATTTAAAGATATCTTTTGGATAGCCTTTCAGTGGCCGAAAGAACGGTGACTTTCTGAGAGGTCTTTCGAAGAAAGTAATCGATGATTTCAAAGATTGTGATTTGGATTCTTTACTGAATATTAGCAATCATTACGCTATATTATCGTACAAATATACATTGAGTAAAATGGGCCTGAATATAAACACAAAAGAGGTGTGTCTTAAATATTTAGTTTTCTACAAATTTTTAATTGAAATTTATTTTAGTTTGAAATTTATTATATTTCTAATTCTTCAAGACTCTATAAAGTCTCATTGCATTTAATGAAAGATTATCGATATACAGAATGTCCCAAAATTCTCGTATACGGAATACAGAGTACAGATTTTTCAGGATAGAAGAGATAATTTTTTCCTTGATGAAAATGTCGAAAATAGATGTTTTTTATAGTAACTTTTCAATTTTCAACATATTTTTGAAGTTCAGCCTTAAATTAAAATTCTGTTCAAGTCTACTTGAAATTGGCCGAAAATAATTTTGCTATTCATTTGTTTGCCCAAAGTTTAACTCACGAAAAACCTCATTTTTTCAATTACTTGTTTCTTGGTTATTATTGTTCGAACGCAATTTTGATAAAGGAAAAAATTATGTATTTTAGTATCAAGTCTCCCATATACTCTGCATGTGGGAATTTTGAGACACCCTGTATAATTATGATGATATAAAATATGTGATCTTTTGTTCTAGTTTTAAAAATAAGCGCCTGGAAACTTTGCTTTAAATAACAATGATTTTATTCATTTTTTTAAGGATACTATGGCTATGGCCTTATGTTATTTTTCTGCAGTGAATGAGTTCCTTGCTGCATTTCATGAGTGACTAATGTAAGTAATTTAATACTCCCTTAGTCAAAAAGTTCCAGGCCATGGCCAGTAAAAAACAAAATATTCATTTAAAAAATGTATTCAGTATATTGTTCTTCAATATAATCTCCTTCGAAAACCCAATAATCTGGTGCCAATATTTTTTCCACTCCTGGAAGCAACGCTGATATGCTGATTCCAGTATGGTTCTCGCAGCGAATTCTGTCTTATGTCTTCAACGTCTTCAAATCGCTTTCCTTTCAGTGGTTTTTTGAGTTTTGGGAACAGAATAAAGTCTGCCGGTGCTATATTCTCGGCCATCGACGAACCGTTTATACAATTGCTTTGTCCTGGATAGTAATAGTGCTCTTTCACCAAGAGCTATTTACAACATCTTGAAGGAGGCTTCCGCATCATTTTTCTCTTTTTTTGATAAAATTTAATGCAAATTTTTTGCTCTTGTTTTTCATTCATCGTAAAAATCGCTCAGGCGAGAAAACATAACTTCTCAGAAAGGTAAACAGAACTATTGAATGCGTTAAGGAAAATAGCAGAACTTTTTATACGTGTCAGTTGAAATGTCACCAAATGTCAGTCAAAATTCTATCAAGAAATTTACAAAAAATCATTATGGTTCGTTCACGTTAAATAAATAATGGCCTGGAACTTTTTGATTAGGGGGGTGTTATGTACGTACATGCGTACGCGACACATATATACACACACCATTAAATAAGCACACGTAATCTTGCGATGCAGGTTGAAGAAGAGTATGCTATTTACATTCAAATAGATCCAACATATATAACCAGTTTACCAATATTACTAAACAGTTATACGAGATAATTAAAATAAATTATTGAAATTTTATACACAAAATTCACCTTATCACGTGATTTGTAATTATATAAAACTTGAATATATATACAACATTAATTTCGAAGCAGTGATAATCTTTTTTTTTGTATAGCAATGAAACCATTGCTATATTTAATGCTAATTTATTGAATGTTTGGTAAAAGTTTATGTAATAAACTTTAATCAAACTTAAGCTGCACTCTTTTCTTCCTCTTTTATAAAGGAAAAAAAAATTCTTTCTTTATCAGTTCACAAGACGTAATATAAATAAAAATCAAATACATGTGTTAATTTCCATGTAAGAATAATTTATATATTATTACACTGGAGTCTTTTAATTATTATTCTAAGTGAGAGAGAAGGATACCCGACTTACGTCAATAGCCAGACGAAAGGGACGCCTATAATAATACTTAATTTAAAGCTATAAGTTTTTAATTTTTATAATCTACCCATAACGAAATCTTATGAACTATCAAAAGTATTAAAAACTAATATTTCGATTTCATTGAATTCAATATCAACTACTTTGCAAGTAATAAATTTAATAGGTCATACATATGTGTGTGTGTGTGTGTGTGTGTGTGTGTATCCTCTTGATTATGAGTGCATGACATTCGAAATGTAAATCAATTGTAATATACATCAACATAAATAAGAAATTCCTTGAATGTACAAGGAACATTGTAATCAAGGAACTACAATTTGTAAATAAAGAGCTCAAGTTGAAATGTTACATTAAAATATATAATTCAGAAGTAAATAGATATGCGTGAAAGAAAAATAAGATGGGAAAACAGAAGCGTAATAACCGCTCTGTACAAATGTTACAAAGACTTGTTTGTCTTGAAAGCTTTTGATTTCGTGAAAATAAGAGATGGTTCTTTTATCGTTTTCTCAAATATAGGTAAATAAATGTTACAAGCAGAGAAAACTACACACACCGATATGTCATAT